CCAACAGTTAGCAATTTGAATTCCCTGCCTTTTTTCTCTGCCTTTTTTCTGGTTGTAACTTGAAGCTCCAGTCGCAAGTAGAAGCAAAATTGTGCGGCCGGAGCTGGTCATAACTCAAAATTGTCAAAAATGTTCGTAAGCCGAGGCACCAATGTACCATGTTTCCCAAAAATTAGACAGAGTTTTATATTAATTTTTGCTCCAAAAAGACGCATTAGTGTCATATGTCGGGATGTTCGTAAGCCGAGGCACCAAAGTACCATGTTTCCCAAAAATTAGACAGGGTTTTATATTAATTTTTGCTCCAAAAAAACTGCATTAGGGCTTGTTTTCAGGGATGCTTTTTTATGTACAACAATCTACATTTATTCAAACGCATTAGGGCTTGTTTTCAGGGATCCTTTTTTTGTACAACAATCTACATTTATTCAAATACAGTCGTGTCATCTTCTTCTGGTTGCTGCACATTGCTGAACAATGGTGGGGCTTATTTTGGCATAGGGCTTATATTACCAGTATCCTGAATAATCATACTAGGGCTTATTTTTTTTATTTAATTTATATCCCGCCTATCTGAATCACATAGGACCACTCTTATTTTCAACTTAGATCTTATTTTCAGGGAAACAGGGTAACAACCTTCTAAATATTTCCACTGACTGTTTCTAGAGAACAATACCCTTTACAAAAGAGAGTGTATATATTACTTTATTATATTTTATTTCTAATCAAGAATATATAAATGTCATTTACTAATGGCATTTTGGAATGTTTGGGATAAGTGATATAATAAATAAATAACAATAAAATAAAATGGTGTCAGTGAACTAAAGCGGACTGGACTGGGATATTTTTAGTCAGACAATCACAAAGTGTTCTACTTTGGAAATGGCAAGCTCAGAAGAAATGGACTGGCTCTAATACTGAGACAACATTTAGCATAGGCAGTTAGGGGCTATAATGCAAGTTATGACCAATAAATAACACTCCAACTCATGAAAAACTAATTAGCATTATCATCATTCAAGCTGATGCTCGAACTACCAATGCTGAAGACGAAATTGAAAGCTTTTTGCACAAACATCCAAAAGGATACTGATCACAAAACATGACATCCTTATAATTACAGGTACCTGGAATACAAAAGTACTACAATTCCTGTATTAAAAAAAAAACAAGAAAAAAACAACAACTTAGATGGATGATGGAAGAAACACTTAAAGTAAAAAAACAACAAGAAAAAGAACAACTTAGATGGAGGATGGAAGAAACACTTAAAATTGTAAAGGACAGATGAGAAGCAAAAATAAAAGGTGTCAGAAATAGGGTCAGAACCTTGAAGGCAGCTGTTCAACAACTGCCAAGTAGAGACACAGAGAGCTACTACAACAACCAGCAAAGAAATAGAGAATAGGAAAGGGGGAAAAACAAGAGATCTCTTCCAGAAGATGAAAATGAAGTGAAAGCTGCTCTGAAAAGACTAGGAAAAAAGTAAACCACCATGGATAGACAAAATACCAATAAAACGATTTAAAACCAGAGACTGAATCCGTCAAAATCCTAATAAGAAAATATCAACAAATATGGAAGACAAAACAATGGCTTACAGACTCAAAACAGTCAATATACATTCCAATCTCAAAGCAATGAGATGCCAAAGTGTACAGCAACTTTTGGACCATTGCTTTAATTTCCCATGCAAGCAAAGTGATGGTCAAGGTGTTGCAACAAAAGGTTTTTACCTTATATGGAGCAAGAAATGCCTGATGATCACGCTGGACTCCAAAACAGAAAAGGCACTCAAGATCACATTGGAAATATCCACTGACTACAGTACACCAAAAAATTTCAGAAGATCAGTCTGTGATTTACAGAATACAGTAAAGCCGTTGACTGTGCAGGTCATGAGAAACTATGGGTTGTTTTGAAAAAAATGGGTGTGCCTTATCACTTGTTTGTCCTGATACATAAGCACTATTGTGCACAAGAAGCTAATGTTAGGACAGAATATGAAGAGACAGAATGGATTCCTATAGGCAAAAATATCAGACAATGGTGCATTTTATTCCCTTAACTGTTCAATGTGATTGCAAAACACATCATACGGATAGCCAGACTAGATTCAGATGATGGAGGAGTGAAAACTGGTGGAGGAAACATCCGTAATTTAAGATATGCAGATGACACCAACTTGCTGGCAGAAAGCAGCAATGACTTGAAATAACTTTATGGGAAAGTGAAAGTGCTAAAATGAGACAGCAGCAGAACATTAAGACAGAAATCATGACTACATAAAAATTACACAACTTTAATGCTGACAATGAAGAAACTGAAATAGAGATTTTGTATACCTTGATTCAGTCATCAATCCAAATGGCGACTGTAGCCAAGAACTCAGAAGAAGTCTGAGACTCATAAAGACAGCAATGAAGGAATTAGAAAAGGTAATCAAGTGTAAGGATGTATCACTGGAGACAAAAATAATCCACATTCTTATATTTCCGATCACTATGTATGGTGTGAAAGCTAACAGGGGGAAAATTGATTTGTTTGAAATGTAGTGTGGAGGAGAGCCTGGTGAATACCTTAGACTGCCAGCGAGACAAACAAGTGGGTCCTAAATGAAATCAAGCCAGAAAAGACAATAATGCTTGGAAAAGTGGAAGCCAGCAGGAAAAGAAGAAGACTAAGTATGAGATGGATTGATTCCCTAAAGGAAGACACAGGTTTGAATTTGCAAGAGCTGAGCAGGGCTGTTGAGGACAGACCATTCTGGAGACTCCTCATTCATAGGGTTGCCATAAGTCAAAGGTGACTTGATGGCACGTAACTACCACACAAATAAAAAAATATTATTTTCTTAGTATTTTAAAATATTAGGAATAAATCTAACGAAAAGTATCCAAATTAAAAGAAATAAAATCTACAGACATAAATGAATGAACAGGGGGAAAATGTCTTAAATAAAGGAGAAGCCAGACACAGAACATTTTTTTAATTTGTACTGGCCTGAATCCAGTATTACACTAGTGAGCATCCACTTGCACAAAAATGCTCCCTCTTTTCATGCAGGCCTCCTTGCACTGGAGCCTTTCTGTTCTACAGAGGAAGTTCCTGACAGCAAGATTATTCCACTGAATTCCACCCAATATTTAATTCTTCACACAACTATTGATGTGTACCTGGCTTTGTCAGAAACAGTAAATAGAATTGTGATGTCTGAGGGATATAATCTCTTGATAACAAACCCATATCAAAGCTCAGAAATAATGAATTACAGATATTGTAGTTACCTGTAACATTTTTCAATCACAAAATTGTAACAAAGGTAAATTTCAAAAGGAATGTACTGAGTAGAGGTGAGTTTACTTCATTCCTATAATAAGTAACTTTTTTTCCTTTTACCTTTTAAGGGCATTTTGACAAGAAATTTGCAGGTTTCGTGCCACAACCTTATCAATCCAAAGCCTTTTTTTAAACTACAAAAAGCAGTTAGAAAGTAACAAGCAACAGAACGAGGAATACAACAAATTAGCTTCTTAAACAACGCTGCAAGTAATGACAACAAATTGTTTCCTAAATTCTGTAATGATTAACAGGGCCAGATAATTTTACAGAAGTAAATTTTTAAACTCTGATTCAGACTTCGATGATTTTTCACCCTAGTGTTCACAGCAGTAATAATTGCACTTGGAAAAGCATAGTTCACTAACCTCCTTGTTATTAAGTTACCGTATGTCAAATTTAAATAGACACTTGGGTCTGGAGACAACACTCTTCATTTACAGGCTCAGTCATAGTATATATAGTGGGAGTTCCTCTCCCTCCTCAGAGCATAGCTCTACTACATGCTAGTGACGAAACACCAAATCTCCAAAGCACTCCTTCCTGCTGACGTTTTGATGAGGCAACCCAATCTGTTGGTGTGGTTATTCCTTTGTAAGTAATACTTTTGGGGCTGCAAACAAAAGTTTCATATTTCACAGCTGGGTTTAGAAGCTCTGACCAATCTTGCCTTGTTGTTATCTATTCTGTTCAAGGTTTCATATTATGGCCGCTTTCAGCATGTGGAAAGCCAACTGCAAGTCATTAGCTTTTATTTTAATTGACCACATTACAGTGATAATGCGAACAGAGACAGTGCTGTTCCCAAAATGTTCTCTCTTTGGCATTACTATTTGGCTTAGATCTGCTGGCTCAAAAAAGAAAAGCTTCTGATTATTTTTATTTTTTTTTTCATTGTTACTTATTAACATTAAATGAAATCTATTCTAAAAGTTATACCACTCCATTTTAATCGTTAATAAGTACTGGGAAAAGCTTCTGATTATTTTTATTTTTTTTTCCATTGTTACTTATTAACATTAAATGAAATCTATTCTAAAAGTTATACCACTCCATTTTAATCGTTAATAATTACTGGGATTCTCTTCTGCAATCTAGCATTTCAAAGACTTATGCTCAGTTGGAATACTGTTCAAAAGGCAGAATGAAAAGAATTTTCATTAAATATGCTTCATGTTTCTTGCTTTAAAATGTCACCCGAGGCACTATGATCCCCCTCCCCTTTTACATCAAATGCTAGGTTGCTTTGATCATCATATTAATGTTTCAGTGGCCATTTCAAAAATAAACCATTGTATTAAAAGTTAAGCTTTTGCAGAGGGCAAAAAAATATTATTCAGTGACATTGCATTTATAACTCAGACACTTCCTCTGAGAAATAAGACTATTCTATTCAATTCCCTCCCCACATCCTTATCCACCCAAATTCTCCTTAGAAACATCAAACACCAACTTACAGGAAAACAATACAATTAGATGGATACTGTGAAAGAAAAAAACTCTAATAATTTAAAGTAGGTTTCTTGTCAAATTCAGCTTGGCAATAATCACAGACTAAGTTACAAGAAAATATTTTGGAAAAATAAAATTTTAAGGAGTGAAAAGTACAAAGACCTCAGTGTGTTTCTAGTGAAATAAATATATTCCATACTTACCATACACTTGTTTGGTTTTTCTCCAGAATGAACCCTCATATGAATCAGCAGTTTATAACGAGCATTGAAAGGCTTATATCGACGGACACAACCTGTCCAGAAGCAAGTGAAGTCCTCTCCTTTCCGTTGATCAATATGTGTTTTTTCTATGTGCCGGACCAGTTCGTCTTGCTGATCGTAGGCAGCACTACAGTCAATCCACCGACAGGCCTGTCTGCCATGGCTGGTCTCCTGTTCGTCACCTTCGTTCATTTGAAGAGACTTTGGAGACATGGAGGCATGTAAATGAGAGAGTATCTCTTGAGTTTGGCTTCGCTGCTGGTGTAAATGATAAGGTGGTGGTAGCTCTTGGTGATGCTGAAAAAGATCAGAGGCAGAAGAATATTCGTCAAGTGGTTCTTGTTTTAAAAAATTCAATTTTTGGTTGCCGCATGAGATGTCTTGCTGAGGACCACTAGCATTGTTCATTACATGACAGAGACCTGCATTTTTTCCTGTTTGCTGCATTTGCAGATGGTCGCAGTCCCCTCGGACAACTTCAGAGGACACAGGAACAAGACATACAGAGGGGGAAGGAAGGCGGCAGTGGTTCCCAGCTTGGGAGCAAGACTGCAGATGAGCAGGTTTCTGAGCACTATGGAGAGTAATCTCCCCGGGAGAAGAGGAAATGCCAGTTGAATTAGTTCGTAGTCCATTCATGCAGGTAACCAGTGATGTCTGTGATGTGCGGATGATGGCTGTAATATCAATCCCATCAGTAGAAGACGGCAGCATGGAGATGCACCTCCGCTTCAGGTTGTTTCCCTGGTGTCTGCTTGAATGCTGAGGGCTGCTGAGTGACACTGAGCTCAGGGAGGAGCTATGTTCATTATTGAACAAGTATGATGAAAGTGAATTTGTAAAGCCATTGTTCATTAGGTCTATTTCAGGGCGAAGGCTGCCTGAGCCTCTCAATTCCATTCCTTCAGTAATTCCTCTGTGTGTGTAAACCTCAGACGGGCCCTTATAATTGCTTGGGCACTCCTGCTTTATATGTTGAGTAGTGTGGCTTCCATTCATGCATGGAGTGGTAGAGTCTGCGGAGTCTTGAAAAGGAGGCCTGTAACACAGTTTCATTAACAGTGCTGAGTGGCAAAGAATTTTCATATTTTAATGCAAGATGTAATATTTATTAAGATCCTTACCAAAGGATAATTTTAAAGTTTTTTTGGTGGACACCATCCCTTTGTCTTTCAATGAAAAATTGAAAGCTACAGAAATAAAAACTCTCTGAGAAAGGAAAACAATGACATTTTGTATGATATTAGTTGACTCATACAGAGTAGTTTACTAGTAGCACTCTTTTCAAAATGGTTTCAAGCTGTCTCATCAATAAAGAAAAATTAAGGAGAAAGAATCAAAACAATATCTACATCCACATTTATTTTCCAATCATGAACAATGAGATCAAGACTTCAGTTGGTTTATTTCACATGTCCAAAAACCCATGAAAGGCTATACTTCCAAATTATTTGGCTCTGCTATTTATTTATTTTATATTGGATAACAGCATGACAATACAAACCTTTTTTTTTCTTTGACCCACTAGACAGAACATTTAGAAACACAGATGTGCATTTAGGATGAGTGGAACAATAAACACATCAAATGAAAACCTTTGTTGCCTCAACAGTCCAAAACACAAGGAGCAAATGCAAATAATGTCCAAATTAAAGTAATGCTGCCTGGGAAATTTTGGGAGTTGCAGTCATAACAGAAATTGGCTCACTAAATGTTTCTTGATGGAACACCTATTTAAAACACAGAGGTAATTTATTTTACAGTCTTGCCATGTAGTCAAAATACAGTAGATGCTAGAATCCTCTGTATCATTTTAGGCTGCAAATAGGATAGTACATTTTTAAAAAATTATCCCTGCATTTAAAAGCAACAAAACCTCATAGATAGCAATAACAAACACATCAGGAAGAAAGACTTTAGAGCAAAATGCTCTATTTCTAATTGCTGGGAAGTCTGTGTTTTTATTTTTATTTTTTAATAGAGATAAAGAGTTATAAATGTAATTATTCAAAGCTGCTGACACAGTATTTTCTATTCTACCATGTCAGGCTTCTTCCATTTCATTTTTTTAAATCTGGGGGGGGAAATGAAATAAGTTATAGGACAGAATTCTATTATCTCCTTTTCCAAACACAAAGATGAAAAACTAGAATCCTCAATACAAGATGGCTAACAAAACCAGCTTCTAAACATGCATATCCAGCCCAGTGGTTTAAGTATCTGTCTATGGAGAAAGAGGTTTGGAGTTTGATTCCCCTTGGGGCTCCTTGACAGGGGCTGGTCTCGATTATCCATAGGGTCCCTCGCAGCTCTGCAGTTTTAAGATTATTCTTATTCCCTCATGGATTATCCAATTAGGATAGATTTCCAATTTTTTTCAACGAATGGCCAGAAGTCAACATGAATAATTACGTAATAGATTACACATTCAGAAATCTTCTGCTGTTCTTGCAAAACTCATCTGGATTCAAGGGATTTAAGCCCTCTTCTCCCAAAAGCAGTTTTCCAGAATACAGCAGTGAGTGAGTTACAAACCAGATATGATTTTCATGAAAACAAAGATGTACACCTTTTAAAAACACATTTGTGATATTTTGCAATCATTATGAAGGAAACTCTGTAGAGTACAAAAAGGTAAATGAAAAAATAAAACTTAAAAACTGAGGCCAGGATCTAAGTACGTATTGCTAAAATAGCTTCTGTTAGCAGAATCAGGAGAGGACACGAGGCAATCTCCCGTCCGCAGTAGTCTCTCCTGTGAACTCCAAAACCTACTCCGAAAGTTGGAAAACCCTCCACAAGTTTCTCAGCTCCACTGATGGCTACAAGTGACGCTGAAAAATTCTGTATGATGCTGATGCAAAGAAATATTTTTTAAAAAACAGTAGGTCTTTTAAGAAGATGCCATCATCTTGGTGTTACACAAGCACCCCCATGCAGTCCAGGGAGATAATACTTAGTTACCAATTGAGTAAGAAGAAAAAAAATGCTGAAAGCCTCACATGGTAGAAACGTAGGGGTGGAAAGAAAGAACAACACTCATCGCTGAAACTAATGCACTAATGACAAGGAATCTGCCACTTTGCCAGTGCCAAAATATTGTCCTTAGAGTGCTGAGAACAATTAACACCTTCTACTATAGATTCAAGTAAATTCTTCACTTCTCCTACATCTGTGAATAGGCATGGAAACTGAGTGTCAACGTATTGAACATTATCCAATTGAGCTTTCCCTAAGCAGGAAGCCCGCACAGCAACAGTGATGAAGAATAATGTTGCTTACACAAATCTTGGCTTTGCACAAGTTTTCTTGTGAGGAAAACTGCAAATCTTGTGGAAGTGGTGGTATCCCATGTTCCTATACTAGTGGGACTTTTCACACTACAGAAACTCAAAACAATATTGACCGTTATGCCAAAGAAGCACATAGGAGTGTGAAATTATAATACTGTACCGTGTTTTCCCGAAAATAAGACAGGTTCTTATATTAATTTTTGCTCCGAAACACCCATTAGGGCTTATTTTCAGGGGATTTTTTTTCATGTACAACAATCTACATTTACTCAAATACAGTCATGTCATCTTGTGGTTGCTGCACAATGGTGGCGAGAGGAGTTTCACTTAACTAGGCCTTATTTTGGGGGTAGGGCTTATATTACGAGCATCCTGAAAAATCATATTAGGGCTTATTTTCAGGTTAGGTCTTATTTTCAGGGAAACAGGTTAGCATGACCTTGAGGCATTTCGCATAACCATAAGAATCTTTATTAACCCTTTCACATTCTTTCTCCATATACACAAATAGCTCAGAATTAGGTCTGACTATGGAGGGCCAAACTTCAAACTTCTGGATTGACTAAGAACCATTCCTATTACATTGTATCATCTCAAACAAACAGGTACATAGCTTCCAGACTATAGAAGAAATGTATTTTGGACATAAACTGGAGGGAAAAAGAAGCAAGGAAATACATATTCAAATACATTAAGGAGAAAATTGGGGTAACTGAAAATGTGGGAGGAAAATGCAATGTACCTATATAACTCTATCAAAATAATTTTACCAATAACAAGAAAACCATGATTTACATGGTTTTACATACTACCAATACTTGTAGTTTTGTAGTGAAGTTCATACAGATCACTGACTGTATGAACCAGACGTGATATGAGAGCAAGATCTTACCCAGTGTACCCATGTACGTGTGGATATAATGGTTTAATACTAGAAATTCATAACTTCTGTGCGCACAAGGTCAATTCAACACTCTGCATTGAAATATTACATGCACATGATGCTCAGCAGGTCAGGCATGATGCATGCTACTTTATTATTTCCAGGTAAGCAATTCTACCACATGGGTTTACACATTAATGGAACTGAATCTATTGCATTATTAGTTACCAATACTAAAAATGCAACAGATTTGGTATTTCAGACTCATTATACTTATTCTACTTTGACCTCTGAGGCATTGCTTGGAAGGATATTTCAGCTGGAAAGGCAGAAAAACAGACAGAATTTTTGTCATGGCTGAACATTTTGAGAATATAAATAAAATTAAAAAATCTCAGACTAAAATTATAATCCATGATTTAAGTCTATCTCCCCCACGTATGTCCAGCACATTTTTCTAAAATACTAAAAGTTACACACTAAATATCAGAATAATGGGGTCAGATATATTTATACTAAATACATTTTCACTTTACTTGCATGCCATCTTTTTAATGTGTCCCAGTGATTCTAAAATGTCATATTAAAAAGAAGCCACAAAATGCTGCATTCCCATAAAACCATTCTAGTCTGGGATGCAGGTTTAGCATCATTTAGCTTTCTTTCCGTGGCAGGTTTACAACACTAATTCTTAAGAACCATCAGAGATAGATTCAGAATTTTTAATCCCAATGGAAACTTTGCTCTCTTTCCACTGGAATGTCATACTCCTTTCATCGCTACCACGATGACTTGTAAAAATTCTATTTCAAATAATGTTTATTACTTGCCATAATTTACTGCATATAATATTTTAATCCTTTACACTTCATCAGATAGTAACCAACACACCTGGTTTTTACAGGTGGAATAGTAAATACGCATTTATTAACACATCTTAACAGCTTGCCTATAAAATATGGAGCACAACAGTAAAATGAGGAATGATGTGGTATAAAGTCTGTTCCTGACACACATTTGGAACAACCAGCAGAGTTTAACTCATGGATTTACAATGAATTCCAAATTCCAACCCCACATTTTCACAGTATTTGTCTCATTTCTTCATGTTACGGGGTGGGTAACCTGTAGCCCTTAAAGTTTGTTTTCTGCTCTTTATGGTTTTTTTGGAAAGTAAATATTTTAAGCTCATGCTTTTTTTAAAAAAACCTTTTTGGCCATCATGGTCCCTGAGGAAAATCCATTGATAGGCCTATGTGATTAAATAAGATTTTTCCATAAAAAGCTAAAAAAACAAAACAAAACCCAAAGACAGAACTTTGTGGCACCTTAAAAACTAACTGCTATTTTTTAATGTGAGCTTTTGTGAACAAATCCATTTCCTCAGATACTTCCTTTTCCATAGGATAGTATGTTATTGATTTCTAGTAATATAACTTCACATCAAATATTTTGAATCAGTAACTTTGGGTCTATTTTTAGATGTTTTGAAGTTTTTTATAACTGTATTCTTCTTCTTCTTCTTCTTCTTCTATTATTATTATTATTATTATTATTATTATTATTATTATTATTATTATTATTATTATTATTATTATTATTATTATTATTATTATTATTATTATTATTATTATTATTATTATTATTATTATTATTATTATTATTATTATTATTATTATTATTATTATTATTATTATTATTATTATTATTATTATTATTATTATTATTATTATTATTATTATTATTATTATTATTATTATTATTATTATTATTATTATTATTATTATTATTATTATTATTATTATTATTATTATTATTATTATTATTATTATTATTATTATTATTATTATTATTATTATTATT